TATTCTAGTTATATCATGGCGTGCCAGCTTAATGTGGGAGGAAAACCCGAAGTGATGCAGGTCTCAAACGCTTACCACTTCAGTGATACAATGAGCATGGGTATGGTGCTGACAAACCTAGAAACATAATCGGGGCGAACCGGGATTCGAACCCACAATCATAGGTTTCTGGTGTGCCCAAGGGAGGCAACTCTGCACAGCGAATCGCAGCACCTTAGACGACTGGGACACCCGTGCCACCTCTCCCCTGGCTGGAATCACACAACTGGAATACTGCTGAGTGTAGTGATGCAACAAAACTGTAACACTGATTTGATCATGAAATACAGGTATCATTACATATGTGTGGAGAACAACAGCTGATCTTGTGTTATCACCAAACCCTTGTCACTGACCCCTATCTGATAATCAGGTTAGCTGAGTGTTACTTCCATATCCGAACAATCATCACTTGCCACAAGACAGAGTTTGATGATATCTTTAGTCTTGGCATTAGTACACAGTAAGGAAAGACAATCAATGATATGTTTATTAAACTGCATCTACACCTGACAGGTAATATCAACCTGTGATTAGCACACACGACAGACAGGTGACAATATCACATTTGCCTGAATAAACACCACGACATAACAACACAGTGTATGTGGTAATAAATTAAAGGGTCTGGGCCACTGAGGGTTACTCTTCTGCATTATTTGAATCCAGGGATCCCCTAAATCTATAGACACTTTTAAAACTTTGCTTTCCCAGGATGTACCTTTAGTTTCAGACCAGGAGTGTTTTTTTCTGGAATCACATGTACTGTCAAGTCCCACACCAAAGCCTTGCACACCCGTGAAGATCCGGGGTAGAATAGGTCTTCAGCAACCCATGTTTGCCGTAAAAGGTGACTATGCTTGTCGTAAAAGGCAACTAATGGGATCGGGTGGTCAGGCTCGCTGACTTGGTTGATGCATGTCATCGATCCAAATTGCGTGGGTCGATGCTTATGTTATCTATCACTGTATTGTCTGGTCCAGACTCGATTATTTACAGTCCGCCATCATACAGCTGGAATATTGCTGAGTGCGGCGTAAAACAACAAACCAACCAACCTAAATCTATAACTTTTGACATTGGTGTGATAAGGACTGCTTGCTTTAATGCTTAATTTCGCACATATTCTGTGTCATTTGGGCAATATTCCACATCAAAGCAGAGGGACAAGTCGTGAGGTAAAATGGGGTTTAACATCATATTCGAGATTCTGTCACTTATATAGTGGCATGCATACTAGTTCGGACTTATGACGGTTTTATAGTACAAGCCCACTAAGACACCATGCCACAGACTCAGACACAGTAGTGTTGACCAGCCTTTGTGTCATCCCCTTAATAACAAACACCAAGCAGAGAAACAATAAGTACCATCTTTTAACAACTGTTGGTGTAACGAGGCTGGGGATTGCTCTATCCACTGACCATGGACATTGTCAGGGATCGAAGAGTAGAATGAGTCCTTAAGATATTTTCCTGTATTATTCAAATCTAGGGACCCCCCAAAATATGTAGTCTTGTACATTTTGGTAATGACAATGATTCCTAGACTCCCATGCTTAATTTTAAACACTGCTGGGGTATGATGACCTGTAATCAATTTGGTCACAGTATCCACCCAATCCTCATTTCAGTTGGTAAATAGATAGGCTGTAAGAATAATGGTCTGTTTATATAATGGCAGCAGTGCAGTTGAAACATTCTGGTTTCCCAAAACCGTAAATCTGAAAACTTCATGAAACACTACTTTTGCCAAGTTTGCTGATTTTTCCATTTCAAATTTTTATATGCATTCCACATGAAAAATAATGTGAAAAATAATAGTAAAAGGCAAGCGTTGGCCAAATGAACAAAGAAACAATCACAAACTTAATCTGCGAACAACATGTGTATATAAATAAGTGACATCAAACTGACAATATTTCATTTATTTCATGTAAACATTCCAAATCAACCATTTTCTACGATAAAATCTGTACACCCAGACAAAGACACCCTGGCCTTTGCAATACATCAAACTATAATGAGTTCTCCTAACACCTACAGACATGACACTCCATCCAGCAACTGAGATATATGATGATACTTATTATTAATGCACCCACCAAAAAATCGAATCAGATACACAAAATCCGTACTACTAATCTACAGTCTCCATTCAACATCAACATCGCTGACAGAAGGACTACATTTGACACCCGTATCATTAATCTCCCTATCACCTTTGCAAGCATGTATTCCCCTGCTACACTGAACATGCTGCTATTGATCCCGTGAGCGTAGCTGATGCCTACATTTACACACCGACAAACATGGCAGACAGCATGACACCTGCACCACTTACGTTTTTATTCACATTCAATGATTCCCAAATCAATAACATCATGCTTTTGGTCTTCCTAGCTCGGTGAAGTTTTTTCTCTGACTCAAGATGGGGAAATATGGAAGCATGTCCTCCCAACAGTGTGTTTCTAATCCTGTGTCGGAGTTGAAATGTGCATTACCAGCAGAGATACGCTACAATATTTATGGTATTTGCATGACAGAAACTATACATTCGAAATAGGTTCCAGATCCATCTACGACAAAATATACAAGACAAGATATCATCAAATTCAAATAATTCAACAAAAAGGTTTTATATTGTGTCAGATTCAGCTGTATTTATTACCTACCACAGACTGAACACATTCATGAGATGAATGCCATAAAGTGGCTGCACCTTTGAGTGGTCTGTGAAGTCAAATTCTAGGCAGAGGCCCAAGTCTGTGTTCTCACAGGTATGCATTATACAATAGATGCTGTAGGGTAGAAGAATTCCTTGTCTAATGAGCACTTTGGTGTTGGCCATCTTCCGATTTCAATGCAAGACAGCTGGATGCTTTTTTAACTTGTCCTCTAGCGACCACTCCGGAAGTAATAGTCCTTGTGACAAGTCACTGAATATCACTGTTTTCTTTTAAATTTGGGAAGAAAGCCAAGAGATTCTTGTTGGGCATTAAATATTTATGAAGTCCTCCTTAGATTAAGATACATTAGACAAAAACCTCAAGGATACTTATTAATTTCAACTAATACACATAAAATACCTGGGTCTCATTCCACAAGGCAATCTCAGCACCAGGACTACCCTAACATAGTTCTTACAACAGTCATAATGCTACGATTATTCTGTGAAAAAGAGAAGATGAACATTTCTATGAGTGATTAAGTGAGTTTGGTTAATGTGGTATTGAAAAGTAATTCAGTTATATATAAGTGTCAGCTTTATGTTGGATGAAAGCCCAAAGTGATACAGATCTTAGACATTTACCACTCTGGAGAGATAGTGTGTGAGTGAGTATTGGTTTAGGCTGCTTTATACCAATATTCCAGGAATACCAAGGGGTGGGGGGAGAGACACCAGAAACAGGTTTCACACACAGTAGCAATCCTAGTAGGAAGACACAATCAACCAAGTCACTGATCCTAAACAACCCAATCCATTAAGATGCTGCATGCAACAAGCAAAGGCTTCTGGGGACCTATTCTAACCCAGAATCCCAAATTTCTTGATAGGAAAGCAAGGTAGGTGCACTTTATTAATGTTTGTTTCACAAAATATCACACATTTCATGAGAGAATACATGTTGTACGCCAATCGGGCTTGCTTTGTTAGGAACCAATAAAATAATTACTCAGGCCAACTTAGGGTTGACATCCTAAATTATGGTCAACCAGGTAATTGGAACCACAGTACTTTTTTTCAGACAGGATAATAAACACAGATAAAATGTATGTATTCAAGGCCAGATCTTTGTTTCTTAGAATGACCTATATAAAATTTGTTTGGTGTTTTAGGTCTGACTGTTTTGGAAGCATTTTTCTTTAACAGCCACTATAATTTAAGGGCAGTTTAAGTCATCATGACTGTCTGACAGGCCTGGGAAAACACTGATAGGTCAATGCTAAAAATAGAACTTCAGTAGTCAGGCAAATAAAATCACAATGTCTTTTGTCTTCCTTGACATATATTCATGATTAAAGCTAGCTAAAACTATTTGATTTCCCACTACCAACATTTCAGTCACATCAAATAATAATGTAGTTCTTCCTGAAATCTCGATACATATCTCAAACAACAAGATTTGAAATTATATCAGCTTGTCTAATACTGGTACAATTCAGGAAGAACCAGTGACATTTGCTTAAGGACTACCAGCACCACCTTTACCATCAGCTAAATGGCAACTCAGTAGAAAATTTATTTCTAAATAAATTACAAATAGAAAGCCACAAAAAGTTATCAAACTTTAAAAAGATTTGGTCAATTACAATCTTACACTTAACATATATGGTGGATTAAAATAGGCCTATATTCTGAATTAACTAAACAGGACAAAAAATAAATCGAATACCACGATAATCTACCTTATAAGCTTTGACATAAAGGAGACCAGAGCAACAGGGGGTCACATGGTCAATGACCAATCTTATCACTCGCATTATGTAATAGTTTTCGTGCCTTGCAAAATTATGACTCCTGCATGAACCAGTACAATCAACACAATATACATAACGATGAGGATATAGATTTACTGAAGAACGTTAAGTCGCAACTGTACATTTACACACCTTAAATTATCTTACTATCGAGTGACAGCTGATTCATTTGGTTCCCATTGACATTGAATGAATGCATGTCGTCTGCCTTCTAACGCTAGACATTCCGCCCAACAAACGCAACATGCTGGATGCATTTATTTCAAATTCATATGACACGTTACGGGCATGTTTTGTCTGGTATTTATAGGCATATTGTAATTGATATATTACCAGCAGGCCACTGCAAATTTATTAAACCTATGCATGTGAATAGCTGCAAAGTCAAGAAAATACTTTGTGTATTGTCAATAATTTTCTGCGTAAGCGTTCACCTTTTGCATTAGGTATCGGTAAAGGGGTTAAATTTTAAAAACATACCTTGGTATACAATTGGGTGAGGTCTTTTCTATTTCCCAAGTGGCGAAGAGTTTCATAGGCACGGGTTTAACACCCGGCCATGTACTCCGAGACGTCTTGTCCGCCATCTTCTCTACCTTCTGCTACGCATGCGCGGTGTTGTTTAGCCAAACCCGGAAGCGAGATTAGCAATTTGCTGTCAAAACAACACGTTATGTAATATATTCTGGCCACGCTGCCCCACAACACTAAAAGTTCTATATGTTGCTATTACTCGATATACAAGTTAGCAAGTATTCATGTTCATCACTTGACCGATTTTCACGGGCTGTCATCGGTATTTGAAGCATGATGCATTTGAAACAACTGATGTACGTCAGACAACAATGTAAATAATAAAAATATCTAAGAGCGACTTGATCTATATGGAAAACCATACTGTTATCATAATTCATAGCGTGCTCACACTGACACTTATTTAACTTTTAATTATGGTTCTATACAATTAGGTCGTACACCAACTTTAGCCAACATTATTGCAAAAGAAATCATAATGATATGTGGCATTCGTTTTTCATATGTACTTTTCTATCATTAACCACGAAAATTGAACGTGACCTTTAAAAACATCTGGCATATTTTGTGACTCTCGTCGGAAATCATTCTGATACTCTTGTTGATTGAACTAAACTTGGGTTTGACAAAAGATGAAAAACACGCACCAATGCAACGTTCTGGTCAATGAATAAATACGTTGTCATCTGTAACCTAATGTGTTAAGCTACTGGTCATTCATTATATTGTGTGTGTGTGTCTCTGTGTGTGTGTGTGTGTGGGGGGGGGGGGGGGGGGGTCCATGAAAACAAAAGCTAAAGCGAAAGAAGGTGGTGGGTGGGGGGTATATATGTTCAGTATTATATTGTCGATATAGCCTTAGAATTGCTATACAGCTGCTGCAATGATCAATTCAATTTTTTTTAAAGGAAGATATTGACACTAGAATTCTAAACAATACGAAACAAAATTATCAAAACATGAATGAAAGCAGTGGTGGATCTGTGTTATTTAACAGCAGTAAGGAAGAAGCGTATACTTCTAATCCCCCTTTAATGCCTTTTTGACAATTTAAGTCGAAATATCGTTTTTTGGTAAATGCTGAAACAAGAGCTTCGATCACATATGTGAATGACACATCAAGAGTTACCCCCCTTCACGTATACAACACGAGCAACCGAACCTTTTGACTCGGTCGGAAGAATTGAGTGAGTTAAGATTTTAAGTCACATCGGCAATATTTCAGCCATATCGTGACTTTCAAAGGTTATACATAATACATACGTGTAAACAATAAAAACCTGACAGTAAAATAACTAGAAGATCACAGAATATTAATTAAAACTAGTATACAGCCATAAAAAGATTTCACTATCCCTAACGATACAATATAAAAAAGGCTATAGATCGCCAGCAACTGAAGATAGAGAAAATGAGATGGCTCTTTAAATATATAAATCATTCACATGGTTGTAAGACTTGTGTCGACGGATCCGTTTACCAAGAAAGGACAACGACGCTAAAGAGTCTTTTTCAACTGTATTTAGTTGAGGCTTAATGATTTGAGTGAGTGAGTGAGTGAGTGAGTATGGTTTTACGCAGCTTTTAGCAATATTCCAGCAATATCACGGCGGGGGACACCAGAAATGGGCTTCACACATTTTACCCATGTCGGGAATCGAGCCCGGGTCTTCGGCGTGACGAGCGAACGCTTTAACCACTTGGCTACCCGACCGCCCCTAAATGATTTGAGATGAATGACCAATCATGTCTTTACGTATCATGTTTGTATATCCCACCCTGGGTAAGAAAAATATGGTCTGCATGAACCTATGCTTGTCGTACAGACCGCCGTCATATAGCTGGGGCATTGCTGAATGCGGCGTTAACCGAAAGAAACAAACCATTTCTTGGACGGGGCATTTGATTTTAAACGTGTGCGCGCGTGCGTGCGTGCGTGCATGTGTGTTTGTTGTTTAACGCCGCACTCAGCAATATTCCAGCTATATGACGGCGGTCTGTAAATAATCGAGTCTGGACCAGACAATCCAGTGGTTGACATCATGAGCATCGTTCGCGCAATTGGGATACGATGCTTTGCATCAACAAAGTCAGCGAGCCTGACAACCCGATCCCGTTAGCCACCTACTTACGACATATTCGCCTCTTACGGCAAGTATGGGTTGCTGAAGACCTATTCTGACCGGATCTTCACAGCGGTTGCTTATGAGCGGAAATGATACACATGAAATTAATATCAGTTGTTAAGTTTCAACTATTCTGATATACGGTAGAACACGGATATAACGAACACATGTAGATATAGCGAACAAACGGATACAACGAATTGTTTGAAAAATACCCGATTTATCTCCTATATGTACATTTTATTCTTATCGGGAGAGGTGTGAATGGCTGGTGGGACATTGAGTTAATATTTTTGCACTCCAAAACAACGATCCACGCCATCAGGGCACGACGACACTCTCACTAAAATAAAATATTTTACTCCCGATTCTATACGAATCGGTGTAAAAGATTGTATTTTAACCAGAGAGGCATAATATTTATTTGTTTGTTGTTTAACGCCGCACTGAGCAATATTCCAGCTATATGACGGTGGTCTGTAAATAATCGAGTCTTGACCAGACACTACAGTGATTGACATCATAAGCATCTATCCCAGCAATTGGGATACGATGACATGCATCAACAAGATCAGGGGCGGTCGGGCGACGGAATATTGCTAAAAGCGGCATTAAACCATACTCACTCACTCACTCATTCTTTCACCTCACTCACTCACTCACTCACTCAACAAGATCAGCGTACCTGACAACCCGATCCCGTTGGTCGCCTCCTACGGCAAGCATGGGGTACTGAAGATCTATTATTTACCCGGATCTTCACGGGCCATGTGGTCATACGCGTATCAGAAGGGCGATGAGGGTGTGATGACCCATGAGCTATGTGCTAGCACCCCCGATTCCCCTTTTCCAAAAGCTGTACAGGACCTTCTCCGTGGTCACGTGGATAGAGCGTCTGCGTGGTGAACGTAAGGTCGGTGGTTTGATTCCTTGGACGCGTCATACAAAAGACGTTGAAAGATTGTAAGCGCCGTTACCCTGCCAGACGCTCGGCATTAAGAGGGTGCATTTTGGGGATACAACCAGATTGATCGAGTGAGTGAGTTGGGTTTAACACGGCTTGGAACAGTATTCCAGTTACATCGCGGCGTGTCAGTTTAATGTGGGAGAAAAGCCCGAAGTGATGCAGGTCTGATACGTTTACCACTTCGGTGAAACCCACGAGCACGGGCATGGTGCTGACAAACCTAGAAACATAATAGGGGCGAACCGGGATTCGAAACCCACAATCATAGGTTTCTGGTGTGCCCATGGGACGCAACTCTGCACAGCGAATTACGCCTTAGACGACTCGGTCCACTAAAACAGGATGGTAGGCTCGGAGTCAGTATACGGAGTGGGGTGTCCATGTTAGACTGCGGCGTGGTTCCTCAGTGGGCTAGCACAATATACACCCCATTTCACCACCCACCCACCCAAATGCTCTTTTCGCACTTGGTTGCCACCTGATTCACTGTTTATCCGCCTCTTAAGATAAGGAAAGGGTCTTTGAGGGATCTATTCTGCATGGGAATCCCAACACCAAAGTGATTGAACAATTGTATATGCGTATTGTATCAGTACTAGGAAGAATATCTTTCACAGATCAATCAGTAGAGTTACTAACGAGAAGACAAGGCGCCCAATGACATCATGGAGTTTCTAGATAGTTGTACAAAGTGATTGCCAGCCGGTCTGAAAGCCGGCGTCCAAATCTGGGAGTGCCAATGGCTCCCAGCGATATCGATGAAGGTAGAGGAAACACAGACAGTCTGTCTACCGGTATCGATTGATCGCCCATCAGAACCAATCCCCGGCGGACGATCACTTGATTGAAGCTGTCGATGAAGGCACTGACACATGCAGGCAATTCTGCTTTCTTCGTGTCTCCGTCACAAACATGACAAATACACGTTTTTCATCGTTTCATATGGAGTAACGAGGGAGTGTCCAGTCCGTTCTTCGCCTTGATGTAACTTGATGGGGTCCACTTTCTTTATTGTTACAGTCATTGTAGTCTCATCAGTTCAAATATTACTATAATAAATGTTCGTTTTTTTTAAATCATTTATAAAATCGTAGGAACAAAATTCACGCAATATCTTTAACGATGAATGTATGTCTTTTTTTACGCAGCAGTCTATCAATTTATCACGACAACTGTAAATAATTGACCGGACAGACCAGGGACCCCTTGCACGAAGTACCTTAGCTAGAGTTGACTTTAAGCATTAAGTTAAATTTAGGACACATGTTGAGGTGAGGTTGCCGTGTGTAAAGGGGCCCTGACAAATGTGCCCATCTTCCCGAGGCAAGGGCGGACTTTTACAGTCAGTTAACGCCCTTGCCTCGGGAAGATGAATGTGCCCTGTTACATAAATGGATCGTAGAGTATACGGCTGTTTTAAGTCTATGTTGAAATATGGGTTCAATCGACAATCGTAGCGCTATTCCATGTCTTTGGGAAATGAGACCCAGCAGATATACCGTATTTCCTCGATTAACGTATATGTATTAGCGTATATTTCTTTCAGACTCTCTTTACCCCGGGGTTTAATCGAGGTCATTTTTACATTTTTTATATCCGACTAATGATTCGCTCAGATCCATCTTCTGCAATGAACTCTTAAACTTCTCTAACATGCTTCTGTTTAGCGGGAACACTTGTGTTGTACGCACTCTCTAGTCGAATGACGGCATGGAGCTTTGCTCATGTTGTCGACTTGTTTTCACGGTCCAGGCTCGATTATTTACAGGACGACGCATTATACTGGGGATAGGTGGGGAAAACAACATTCACTTATTTGTGGTTATTTGCCGAAGCCAGTCCTAGGGTTCCATTGGGGGGTGATCGGTCGGCAGCCATGCATTTTCTATGAATCGATATGTAGGCTATCTATGTATTCATACGCACGTTTTTTTTGTGAAAAGGCTTAATATATTTGAAAGGGGTTTCCGTAGCAAAAAGGAAACCTCTTTTTAACCAATCAGAATCAAGCATTCATCATTGTCATGGTAGAATGGGAGCTTTAGCTCTCTGATGATCGACGTCCTTGAATGTAGACTTGTAATGCCGCTGTGTCATCACGGCAATGGGTCCATCTGCGAGCGCTTTAACGCCCGCTCTCAATTTTGACTGGTTAAATAAGTTGTCCGTGTCACGGTTCAAATGAAAGTATGAATAAGTTATTTATTTAAGTGTCGCACATAAAAATACATGAGTAATATACATCATAAAAACATGTTAATAATTTTATGCAAAGCCACAATATAGGCTGAGGAGACACTTTACACGAAGACATGTATCACGTATTTTCTTTGTTTTCACATAATTATAAAATATACAGGTAGTATAAAAAATAGAACTTATGTAAAAATTACTTAGTTAAACAACATATAAAAACCGTTTTCGTCGGGCATAGATTTTAAAACACATAAGATAAGGCATTTTGCATTAATATTGTAACGTTTGCAGTTCGTGTGTATTATTAACAAAAGCAGGATTATTAAATATACTGGGTAATTAATTGAGGCGAAAATCATAAATAAAATAGACATTGTAGTTGAAAATGCGTTTCGTCTTCGACACAATTAGTACAGAATTTGCAAAATCTTTCTGTTGGAGGAGTAGGGGGATTACAGTATATGCCCGTTTCTATTTCTAGTTTAAGAGAACCACAACGAGGAGAAGCTAAAGTATACTACGCTGGTAACGTGGGAGTTGTACATAAAATAATGTTGATAAAACTAATTTAAAAAGTTTATATATCCTGAACTTTGGCTAAGACCGAACGCGCTGAAATCAGTTGTTATAATCCGCCCCTTTCAGGGGCATGGTTATTTCACTTAAAATCCACCCAGGGGGCTTATCAAGGGAGTCAAGAATAGGGTTCAGTCCAAAAACAGTTAAAAACTATTAAAACTTTGCTTTCCCAAGATGTACCTTTAGTTTCGGACCAGAAGTGGAATTTTTCTGGAATCACATGTACTATCAAGTCTACACCAAAGTCTTGCACACCCGTAAAGATGCGGGGTAGAATTGTTCTTCAGCAACCCATGCTTGCCGTAAAAGGCGACTATGCTTGTCCTAAAAGACGACTAACGGGATCGGGTGGTCAGGCTCGCTGATTTGGTTGATGCATGTCATCGATCCCAAGTGCGTGGATCGATGCTCATGATATTAATCACTGTATTGTCTGGTCCAGACTCGATTATTTACAGACCGCCGTCATACAGCTGGAATATTGCTGAGTGCGGCGTTAAACAACAAACCAACCAACCAACCAAAGTATTACAGCCTCAACATAAACTTTGTACTGGGGGCCTAACCAACCCATATCACCTCGGACAGCCAGGCTAGGCGTAATTTTACAAACGCCAAGGCAAGCTCCACATGTTCTGTGTTGTATTGTATATATTTCGGGCTATTTGTTAACAGCCCAAATACTTGAATAATAAGTAGGTACAGGTTGTCGTACAAGCCTTCGTACAAACAAGTAAAAACATGTTGATGCATATCTCCACGTGAATAATACTCATGTAAAAAAAGCCCAGAGCTCGGGATGAAGATTTGAATAGCTCCTTTACAACCATACGGGGCGGTCGGGTAGCCTAGTGGTTAAAGCGTTCGCTCGTCACGCCGAAGACCCGGGTTCGATTCCCGACATGGGTACAATGTGTGAAGCCCATTTCTGGTGTCCCCCGCCGTGATATTGCTGGAATATTGCTAAAAGCGGCGTAAAACCATACACACTCACCATACGCATATCACAAAATGCATTCACTCACTGACCTACGTACCTGTAGCAATAAGTATAATCTATGGACAAGTCACCACACCTGGATAGAGTTTCACACTGAGATACACTTCTCTGTCGGAAATGGATTACATAAGTCTTTTCACCATATATACACAACCTCCATTTACAGATCCAATGGTGTAGGATATTTAACAGGTGCTGACGGCTTGCTGTGCCAGGAGACAATGAAACAATATCATCGGCATACATGGGCACCGCGACATTAATATCAACAATCTGGTTACAATAGTTAGTGTTCTTTAGTTCCACCGCCAGATCATTTATGTGAATGGCAAAAAGGGTAGGCGATAATACACAACCTTGTTTGACACCTGAGTCAACAGGGAAAACATTGGTCTGATATTGATTGACCTGCCCGGAACACAACACATATTATACCATATAAAAATCCAATTGCTTGTAGTATATTACCAGTGAGACCACACCCAGCAAGTTTACACCATAATAGATCTCTGTTCACAGAGTCGAACGCCTTTTTGACATACTATAGACACGATCAAGACAGGATCTACCCTTTCGAAAGTCGTTTTTCCTAATCGACAAGGAAGTTATTCAATTCTAGTTATTTACAAAGCCGCTGGTTAATAATATTAGCAAATATTTCGATGGTATTGATAGCATAGTTATAGGTCGCTAGCTGAAAGGGTCTAAAGACGGTTCATGGATAGGTTTTATTATATCATGGTTTCATTTGTATGTCGACCCGTGAAGATCCGGGGTAGAATAGATCTTCAGCAACCCATTTTTGCTGTAACAGGCGATTATGTTTGTCGTGAGAAGTGACTAACGAGATCGAGTGGTCAGGCTCGCTGACTTGGTTGATGCATGTCCTCGTATCCCAACTGCGAAGATCGATGTTCATGGTATCAATCAGTGGATTGTCTTGTTCAGACTCGATTATTTACAGACCGCCGTAAAATGGCTGGAATATTGCTGAGTGCGGCGTTAAACAGACAAACAAACAATTTCTGTCACCTGGCCGGACTGAAAGCTACGTAATAATCTGTGTAAAGCCCACCCCTCAATTTGAAAATCCTTAAGCCGAGTGCCGGTTTACTAGACAGTAGCCAAGCCGACCAGAAACAGCTGTTGCCAATAAACCAGTTAGCCTCTCATTTGTTTGTTAAGCTTGTTTTATTGTTTTGCTATATATATCAAAATAATATCAAAAGTGATTCAGTAAAATGCCTAGCTACGTATTCAGGATGTCTGTCAGCCTCAATGACGGAAGCAAATAAGGAAGAGAATATATGGATGTCAACTTCTTTATTATGAGGAACACAACGTTTCGGAGTATATGCTTACTCCTTCGTCAGGTGAATGAATGCCATGAGGCAGAGAGCATATGTATGTACAGGTAAGGACAACAAAATAATAAGATAATAAAAGGTGGAAAATAACAAAGGGTAGAAACTATCAAGAGAAGCCAACAGATGATTGGCGCTGATAGGAGATTAGCAATAGACAATAGAAACCAAAACTTTACAGTAATTATCGCTGAATGTATGGAAGCCAGTACTATATGCTCTCTGCCTCGTGGCATTCATTCACCTGAAGAAGGAGTAGGCATAAAACGTTGTGTTCCTCATAATAAAGAAGTTGACATCCATATATTTTCTTCCTTGTGTGTATCACTTCTAAATGCCTTTCAAAGACCTGGAAGCAAATAGGAAATATTTCATGGAAAGAATCCAGGCAACCAATGAGTGTAACAACTTCGGGTTAATCGTCTTGTTTATTTATAATCAGTAGGCAGGGGAAATGGTTAAATCGCAGTGCGGAGACCAACTTATTTTTCATTAAACACCTTACTTGGACGTCGTTTTTTTCTCGAAATCTGTCGTGTAGGTGTCTTGTCCGGATTAAGAGGGGCGTCTCAAAGGGTTCACAAATTTTGATGTTTCATTACATGAACTACATGAGCGTATACATTGATGAACATTATTGTTATTAATTTTGTTTATTACAGTATCCATATACAAACACACAGTCAAATCGAACACACCCGAACCACACCCATACACCCGGGTTCCTTCGCATATGCCAAAATGACCGCAGGGCTTCGATGACAGGATCTGGGGTATATATTCGCAAATGGAAATAGTTTTTCACGTTTTAGGATTTTTTTATTATTGAAAGTTAAACATTCCGTCACACTCGGGAATTACTGCATGCGTGATTTAAAAACATACACAGCCGACGTACTGTCCCTTTAACACTGTTTTTTTTCAATAGTAAATGTCTTAACTTTCAGATCAGAGCAAGTATAGAACGTATTGCGGAGGTGTTTGAATCTTTGAAATTTTAAGAAAGATACGACTCTGGTTCAAGGAATGACTTGATATTAGTATCATATTACCGTATGTGTCATATCTTGAACTTTATATAGTTATAGAATGCCAATCCTGTAAAAACATATCTATAGCAAGAGTACGAAATTATTGTAAAATATATGATATCACCAATAGACATACATATCCAAAAACATGCAGTTAACAATCGAATGAGGTAGTGATGCCATCTTGGAATGGATTTTCCGATGTGTGATGACGAATTTCTCACACACTGCAATGTCATAACAAACCGTTGACATTTGTTGTGTAATGATCGAAGCGTGCTTAGAATATAATTCCCGAATGTATCAAGCTCCTCACAGCAATATCCCGTTCAGAATGTAACGAAGGTGTCACGCACTGAGAAGGAGCTTGCGAATGTATGGTCAAAGGGAGATAATAAAGCAAGATAGTAAATTCTTAACGACACATAAGATAAATACTTACAAATAAAAACCAATATACATATTAATATACTATAGTTCAAATGTGTTGATCAGATGATATATATTATATATATAAAATATTTTTCTATATTATATTGATAAAGAATATGAAAAAAGAAAATCAGCAAACACCATGAAGAAAAAGAATATTAATACGTTTTACTGAAAATATCTCAATATGTCTGCGCCCTTGAAAAACTTGTGCAGATGCCGTCTGCTATTTTATGAACTTGGGAAAGTGGGTATTTTCGGTAATGTCCACATATCACACACTGTTTCGTTCGTCAGTTGTAATCTGGCTGTTACAACTGAACTATTTCATTATATATGAGTGGAATGTTTTACGATAAGCTCAGTTACGCTTATCATTTTTTGTATGTTGAGTTGTGTATGAGCATGAACCGAGTCATAGATAAATCAAAGACCTACCAGATTATTATTATTATCGGTCTGTAAGTAGAGGTGTTCTCCATATCCCCTGTAATAGTTTCTGGGATTTAGACCGCTGCATGTCGTAGAGTCACAACGATCACTGTGATGAACTGCGTTGCAAGAGATGATCAGCTGATGATTATGCCCTCCTCCATGTCCTCTTGCGCATGAAATTCATGGTATAAATATAAACACATTGAAGGCATGTAGCAGTCATCTGGTTAGATTTAGGCAGTATCGAATGAGTATTGACAGGAAGTATAAATTATTCTTAAAGTTCAAAGCTTTTATAAACCACAAACGTAAGACTGTAGGTGAGGTGAAATGGGGTTTAACGTCGCTCCCAAGATTATTGCACTTATATAGCGATGTGCATGTACGTGTGTGTGTGTTTGTGTGGCTGCTTGTACTAGTCCGGACTGATGCCGATTTATAGTGCTAGCTCACTGAGATACCATGCCGCAGTTTAACATGAATACCCCACTCAGACACAGCTAGTATACTGACTGCGAGCCGACCAGTCCTTGTTTTAGCCCCTTAATGCCGAGTGCCAGACAGGGTAACCATAAGTACCATATCTTTTAACGTCTTTTGGTATGACGCGGCCGGGGATTGAAAACCCTGGACCTTCCGCTCTCCGGGCAGACGCTCTACCACTAGACCACGGAGGCAGTCTTGTAAGACTGTAAATACACTAATCACATAAAATACCTATGATTGTAAATACAACATTCAAATATCAACATGTATACTGCGACGTTGTAGCTGCTAGAACATTGCTAAAAGTTGCATAAAAAAAATCTTGTTCACCTTGTATAAGTTGTTTTGGATCTAGGGTTCTATAAATTTGCACCTTGATGGAGGCTGTGAAGGGCTGTATCTCCTCTCATGAAGTCTAGAAAGGACAGCCATCAGGATCAGGAAAGCCATAAAATACCTGTTTTAACCAATGATCACACACATAAGACTTACACAAGGCCATAAAGTTATGCCTGTGGTAATACATGGACATTAACACTCATGGGAATGGTGACTAGAACAGAATATGCATTTGATTTTGAGAGGATAAATGGCGCGCTCATTGTTTATTTTTAACATATGTGACCAAGCGAAGAAACTTACAATCTATAGGAAATATGTATCAATGAAAAAAATGTATGTAAACCTTACCACCTAACTCTGTAATCAATGCCAGAACATGCTACGGTATAGGAGTGAGTAAGACTCCATGGAATGTTCTGTGCATCGTCTTCTTTTTGATGAAATATGTCTCCTACTGGGCAAATGTCATGTCTACATTCAGCTTATCGCATGTCATCTTTGTGACATGCTGTTCTTTCAGTAGGGTGAGGTTGTAAGGAAAGGAGACCAAGGTTCCAAGATGGGCATGTCTCCATCCCACTCAGAATCAAGTATATGGTGCTGGGGACCTTAATTCTTACCTGGCGTAGCCATGGAGATGTTTCTGTGGATAAGTTTAGTGTAGTGAATGTTTGTGTGATAGGGAATTCAAAGACAACCTCAGAACTCATGGACATCAATATGTAAGTGAGATCTTGTGATGTTAGACCCTGTGGAGAGTCTGGCAAAATAGGTTCCTGGTGCATGTTTGTTAAGGAGTGGAGCACTGGTTTGCCTGATGAGACTCGATTATTTACAGCCATAGCTGAAATGCTGTTGACTGTGGATTAAAAAACCCAAAACATTCACTCACCATGCTCATTAACTATAATGGTGTAAGGTGCATGCTTGCAATACAGTATTTAGTGTGTTGAGCAATGATTTTCTTGACAAAAGTTTGTTTAAATTGGAAAAATGTTTTCATACATTTACTGGTTGAATACATTATATTTCCAGGTATGGTAACTTAGCAGAGAAACAATGTCATATCCACAAGCAAGCAGGCTTCTGTTTGCTGGTCCTATACAGAAATGGCGCTTCATGTCATCATGGAAACAATATAGGCATTCGCAAAGGACTGCAAGCATTTTGATACAGAAACAGATACAAACCACTAGGCAGTGCCTCTGGTGTCAGTCAGTTTACCTTCATAACTCTCCGGCTCTACATGCTGCAAGGAAAGATAACTCTAAGAAAAAACTGGTAAGTATATCCCTTGCTGTATATATTCTGTTTACTTTGTGTACTTTCTGTCATAAAAGTGAAACCATGTGAAGATCTGATTTGGAATTGGCCTTCAGCTACCTATGCTTGTTATAAGTGGCAGCTAATGGGATCAGTTGGTCTGGCTCACTGACTTGGTTCATGTCATCCCTTTGTAAGGTGGGGGGAGACATGTTGTTTTTGCCTCGATTCCTGTTGGCGTTAGTGTTGGCATTCCCATCCTATTCAGAGCCATAACTTGAAAACCATTCAATGTTTTTCAACGAAACTTGGCATATATGCCTTACTCATCAGCAGAGCCTTTTGCTATTTTAAATTTTCTCAAATTTTATTTGTTTTAGTTTCCATGGAAACAGTTTGAACTCAAACGAGGTTAGGGTTTATTTCCAAGCCACAACTTGAGTGAGTAAGTGAGTGAGTTGGATTTAACGCCGCTTTTAACAGTATTCCAGTTATATCACGGCGTGTCAGCTTAATGTGGGAGGACAGCCCGAAGCGATGCAGGTCTCAGACGTTTACCACTTCGGTGAAACCAACGAGCACGGGTATGGTGCTGACAAACCTAGAAACATAACTGGGGCGAACCGGGAACTTTAACTACTGATGTCAGTCACTTTATTGTCTGATTGTTTACAGTCTGCCTAATTGGAATATTGTTGAGTGTTGTTTTGAAAACAACAAACATACAAGTGGAAGGGCCCTGGTTTTGTTTATCATATGGCACATGTTTTTGGTCACACATTCCAAGTAAAAGAGATTTTGTTTATTAAGATGTTTGTTTTAACAGAAATATCATTTGAAATATTTTCATCTGTTATGCAGAACTATTATAACATGATGATTCAATAATTTGTACTACTCATGTAACACAAAGTAATTCACCATCTATGTTCACAGGTTAAGAGGTTTAAAGTGAACACCAAGGGTGTCAAGTTAAAGGTTGTCACCATCTTTGATGGCATGACTGTGGAGGAACTGGCCCGGGCCATGGACAGAGATTGTGGTGAGGAGCACTGGGTTTTACCTGGACCTACAAAAGTTGGGGGCCAGGGACCCTTCATAATTAAGGGTTCTTGCAAGGCAATATGATTGTCCTGTAAAATACTGTACATTTTGAAAATTACTTTAGAGCCTGGAATGAATCAGTGGTCATGCGGACGGTAGTCATGATTGATTGATGAAATGACAGAGGCCCAGAACGGCTCTTGATGCACTGTAGGTACAGTGAATATCACTGTGTGTCCCTCGGGAAGCAGTGTATTTTTCTTCTATTGAGTACTGTTGAATATGAAGCCCACCTGTGAGGATCTGGTAGAATAGGTCTTCAGTTACCCATGCTTGCCGTAAGAGGCGACTATGCTTGTTGTAAGAGCAACCAACGGGATTGGGTGGTCAGACTTGCTGACTTGGTTGATGAATGTCATCATATCCCAATCGCGTATATAGATGCTCATGATATCAATCTCTGGATTGTTTGGTCCCGACTCGATTATTTACAGTCTGCCGTAATATAGCTTGTGTGCGGCGTGAAACAAAACAATTATTCTACCTTTTTTTTCATAAATAATTACCATTTTTAAATTTTCAGTTTCATAAATTTAGTTTGTCTCTGGGATGGCTATATCAATATGATCATCCTTGTTAGTTCATTCTCCATTCTGTAATGATCAATACTCATTTTGCTACATGGTGTCATGTTTCACTATCTCCATCACTCTCAGTCTCATCACTTACCACAGAATTTTCCATGACCTTGAAGTCAACAACCAATGAAAATGCTTCATCTGAATATGAATTTGGCCTAGATGTTCCTTCAGAATCACAGCCTTATCTGACTGTTATTAATTAATTAAATAATATAATTATTACAATGTTATGTATGGCCACGTTAACATTGTTTTTATTTTGGTTATGTCAATAGTAATTGCCAAAGCTGAAAGTGTGTAACATAATCTGTTTTCTGTCCTCAGACCACGTGTTTGAAGTGCTGCTTTACACAAAAGGAGGTGATCAGTACGACCGTGAGACTTCAGGTATGTTGTAACCAGCATTCCAAATAACTACCTGCCTGTTAAGCGCGACTCACACGGGTCGACACGTTTTAACGACAAACCGATTTCCATACATTGTACAACTATGTAACAACATGTTCGGTGATTGTAACGAATATCGACTAATTGATTTACCACCACTCACACAATTCGATCTGCCGATTGAGTGTCGATCTCATGATATCTCATGATAATTTGTTTCCATGGTATCAAAATGTCTGAAGCAGATGTGGCAGCAGTCATCTGCTGCGCGATATTGTGTGAAGAAGACAGCAATGGAGCGTTCCTCATTTCTCTTTTGGAATAATCTTTGCTTGAGACATTTCACAGGCTTTCGTGACTCAGATCGTGAGCCACAAAATGTTCTGCTTCCTTTCTTGAAAAGTCGAGGTGTGGTTTCTTCGCAACAGATAAAGCCATGTTTCCCACTTGTGTGTAAACAAATATCATATGACATCAAAACGCAATTGGATTGGCCACGCAACATCCAACTTTCCGATTAGCTAGAACAGACTCTACGCACTTGTGACACAATCAATGCGGGTTCGAGCCTCCGATTTGTCCCTTTTGTCGAATTTGATTAATCACTCAGATGATACGACTCGGTAGAATTCGGCATATTGGTTCGACGGGCCGACCTGTGTGAGTCCGCCTTTAGGCTGTGGCCAGTCATACTTTATCAGGTCTCTAAGGCAAGTCTATAGGCCAGCCTGCTGCTATGAAGACCTTGGTTAACAACCTATATTGGTGACTGTAGCAGTCTGTGACTTTAATGAAGCAAACAACTTTGTCCCATTCCACAAAGTGATCTTAGCGCAAAGGTGATCGTAACTCCCATACTTAGACAAAGGCTTATGATCATCGTAGTGCTAAGAATGCTTTGTGGAACTGGACAATGGTGTTTGTATCATTACGATGCAGAGCGTGATGGTGAATGCATGATGGACCAGTGTGTTCCGGTTTACCAATGTTCATGTTCTTGTTCCAGTTATTGATGATTTTGACATCATAAAAGACATTATCAAGAGATCTGGCATGAAGTATCAGATCGGCAGCAAGGAGAAGAGGCTGAAGGCAAACATGAGCACAGACCTTATCCGACAGTAGGTTCAGTGACCAGCATGGAGACAGGACTAAATTATTTTTATCGGCTTTTTTAATCTATGAATGCAACATTTTATTTGCTAGTACCTTTCAGTTTATCAAGAAAGGTATACTTGTCTGAAAAAGGTACTAGCATCTATACTAAGCTTCATATTGAAAGAATTGTATCCCAACCTATAGACTGTTTTTATTGTCATGTGCTATCCTCCCCAGTAAAATCACCCAGGCCCTGTCCCCTAGGCAGTACGTGTGTTTATTGTTGTGAGTCAGTCTGCAGCAGCCACTAGTCCTGAAGCCCAGGTCTTGTAAATGTTGTCAGTAAAAGTCAATATATTAGAACTGAAAGGTACTTGAATTGATGTCAAGTGACAGTAGAACGGGCTAGCAGAGTAAAACCTTTTTGCTCAGACGTGTTAATCTCTTTCAAAGATGTCTGCTAAATGATCAAAGGCGCCGAGAGTACTCTATCCTGCGGTAAAGTACACTACTTAATTATGTCAAAATGGGATCTGCAGTAAAAAATGTGTCAATTTATTTGTCACAGCAAGCTGCGTTTTTTTTTTAATGAAGGCCTGAAGAGTTTAGTCAGGGTCTGCAGCTTCAAAAATCTTTTGGTCCTGATGACAGCCTGGCGATTTTCTTTACTTCAAACACTGCTCCTACATTTGATCAAGGTGTACTGATGTCTGTCCTGTTCGTTCCAGACCGCCCCCTGACCCTGCTCAGTTGGTCCGCAGACATCCTGTGGTGACCATCATGGGGCATGTTGATCATGGGAAGACAACTCTGTTGGACTCACTGCGCAACTCGAAAATTGTTGAGCAGGAGTTCGGAGGAATTACTCAACATATAGGAGCCTTCACAGGTGAGATTACATAGAGAGTATTAATTAGTAGTCTGGTAAAGGCACTTGTCTCATAGTCTTGGAAAGCTCTGTGTTGTTTGCTTTGGTGCAGGATTCTCTGTCAAGTTTTAAAATAACTAGTGTAGCATGGAACAGAATGTTTAGTTAATGTCTCAATGCAGTACAATTTTCTCATGATTGGGTCTAATTTAAATTTTGCAAAAGTGAAAAAAATCAAATGGAAAAGGCTGTTATAGTGCAAGAGGATTTTCGAAAATTCGTGTTCATTCAAGTCTGATAACATTATTAAATTCAATTTCAACTGATCACTGTATGAAAGTCTGTGTCACAAGAAAACTAATTTTGTGTGGCCTAAAACATAAATAGGGCTGTGCAGATTTGTGTCCTTTTGTCAATATTGTTTCTGTCAGGAAGTGTCGGCCTTAAACCCCAAATACAGATGTATTTGTAAGTAAAGTGGTAAATGCTGATTTCCAAATCTTTGTATAATGACAAACCAAAAGAAAATGACACTTATCTTCTATTTCTTTGTAACTGCATAATGTACAGACAACTCCCTTATTGTAGAAATTGCCTCATAAACACTGAAGGAGAACCCACTTTAGCAGATGATATATGTATGTCTAACAGCAAAGTTTATATAATCTTACATAGTCTTTGCCAAAAATTGTTCTCTAAAAAGCGAATATGTATGTAGCAGGACCTGTTTTGCGGTTTCTTGCCAGTTTTGTGGAAAACAGTACGTCACTCCTTGCATAAATAACAACTTTAATTGTTCCAGACTCCCAACACCTTGCCCCAGCCACTTCGTCCCTTAGTCATGCAATGACGCTGTGATCATAGGTTCAAGTTCTAGATATGCCCTGCTTAGCTTTCCTTTGGCATCACCTGCAGGCTGCAACTGCCTCAGATCTGCACTTCATTAGGCTAACATGTCATGATGTGACTGAAATCTGTTCAAAGCAGTGTCAACATCTCACACACAAAAGCATAAATACAGTAAACTACAGTTATAATGAACTCAAAGGGACCACTCATTTTAGTTGGTTATAACCATAGTTTGTTATAATTATATATACATCATATATACAGCAAATGGACAGCACCCCAAAACAGTTCGTTATATCCTTCAGATCATTATAAGTGTGTTCGTTATAAAGTTTATAGTATACTGTATAAGCAAAGATACCATGTGATGTGTTTTTGCTGACCTGCTCCTTCCGAAAGAACATACTTAATGTTTTTAGATTAATTAATTATTATTTTAACTCCACAAAAACACAGCGTTTTATCTACCTAACAACTTAGTAGGTCGTGAGGAAAGAATACATAGTTCATATATGCTGATTCTTTGTTTCAGTGAAACTTTCAACAGGTGAGTCCATCACGTTCCTGGACACCCCCGGCCATGCTGCCTTCTCCTCGATGCGAGCCAGGGGGGCACAGGTGACGGACATTGTCATCCTGGTGGTGGCTGCGGATGATGGCGTGATGAACCAGACCAAGGAGTCCATACACCATGCCAAGGAGGCCGGTGGTGGGTGTGATTACTTTTCAAAAGAAAAAGTTGTTTCTAGGGTCATTTTGATTTTGTTCTCCTGAAGACAATTCTTAAGAGAAATGCTTAAAAAGGTTCAAAGAAAGATGTTCTTATATCCCAATATTTTTAATCAAATGCAGAATTAGAAAGAAAGAATTGTTATCACTTTTGCCAAAAAGGGTTCTGAAGATAGTTCTGCCTATTAAATATTAATATACTTCCTAATACGTAATGTGTTTGTTAAAAGGTAAATTTATAGTTTTTCATACATTTTGAGGTGGCTGTAAACATGTATGTGATTGATGTTACAAATTTTTAACATCAAACACATATGCAGCAGTTACTAAAATTGTTTGGAATACGTTATTAGGTCTAGTAAAGTCCAAAGTGCAAACTGTGAGTTCTTTTGCAGTATATACAAAATGTTTAGGTGAATGATGTACCAATCATCACTGTTGAAGTTGTTTATATTTTCTTAATTTTGAATGGATTGTCAACTCTAGTCAGTATTCACCCTGATGTTATCCTTTGGTAGACATATGAATAAGTTTGGAAAGTCTGTTTTTGTCAGATCTTATGAAGCATAAACACGTGACCTCACTGATGTGTGTACTGTGTTTCAGTTCCAATCATTGTGGCAATAAACAAGGTGGACAAGCCCGAGGCTGACATTGTAAGTGTAAAGTCAGGAGTCCCTGTATCAGAACCTTGTGTGTAGGGAGAGCAGATGTGGTTGCAGCATTATCTCATTTGGTTTATGCTACCATTGATCAACTGTTGAAACCCAGTTCTCCCTTTATTGGGTGGTGACAGTATGTGGCTGACAGTGTGTCATCATACCCCATCGACGTGGGATTGTTGGCAGGCAGTTTTGATTTATTTTGAATATTGCTGTCATAACTCATGGAAAGGACACATTCGTTTGTAATTAGAGACAGCATCACAGGAAGGACCACTACCTGACAGTTGCATGTCTCTTTTAAAGATCCGGGTTAGAATTGATTGTCAGCAACCCATGCTTGTAGTAAGATGCAACTAACGGGATCGGTTGGTCAGGCTCTCTGACTTGGTTGATACATGTCATCATATCCCAATTGCGTAGATAGATGCTTATGATGTCAATTACTGTAGTGTCTAGTTCCAGACTCGATTATTTACAGACCGCTATCATACAACCCATGCTTGCCGTAGAAGGCGACTATGCTTGTCATAAGAGACGACTAACGGGATCGGTTGTTCAGGCTCGCTGACTTGGTTGATGCCTGTCATCGTATCCCAAACTAGTTGCATGTACTGATAGTTATTACATTTTTGTGTCATTTCTGTGACTGGATACAAAATTGAATTCTAAAGTGTTCTTATCTATATATTTTGTGCCAGGACAAATACTTTTCAAAAAGCAGTGATCTTTGAAACTTGGGACATTTTAACCTTGAAAAGATTTATATATTTCTTATATTTTTTACCCTTTGAATATTGACATGACTGTTGCTGTGTGTTACAGGAAAGGACAAAGAACATGTTGCTGGAGCAACAGCTAGTCCTTGAGGACTTCCAGGGGGATGTGCAGGCCGTCCCCATCTCAGCACTGAAGGTAGGTAGACTACCTAGATACAGGCCGTCCCCATCTCAGCACTGAAGGTAGGTAGACTACCTAGATACAGGCTGTCCCCATCTCAGCACTGAAGGTAGGTAGACTACCTAGATACAGGCCGTCCCCATCTCAGCACTGAAGGTAGGTAGACTACCTAGATACAGGCCGTCCCCATCTCAGCACTGAAGGTAGGTAGACTACCTAGATACAGGCCCTCCCCATCTCAGCACTGAAGGTAGGTAGACTACATAGATACAGGCCGTCCCCATCTCAGCACTGAAGGTTTCAGAAGTAGAACTTGTATTGTTATTCAGAAATGTTGACACATAAAATTTTGTTGGATTTTGTTCTTGAATATTTAGCCATTAAGAATTAGAAACAATTGATTGGCGGGGTATCAAGACCAGAAAGCACCAAATAATTCAAAATCATTAAATCTTAGACCAGACATAGACCAACTGTGGTACAGTGTTAAATTGTTTAAAATGACTCCAGAGAACATTCAAGTCTTTGAAATTTTGTTCCCACTAGGAAAGTGCAATGAACATAGTAGGTTTTGATATAAGGTTTTGAATGATTGAAGGTATTGAAAATGTTGAGTTGGAAAGATGTTGGTTGGTTCACATGGTCTCTGGTATTAACAACACTTATTCTTGATTGTTTCAGAGAACAAACTTGGATTTACTGCAAGAAGCAATTGTAACACAGGCTGAACTGATGGAACTGAAGGCTGACCCCAAGGGTCTGGTGGAGGGGAGTGTCATCGAAGCCATGACGGATCCAGGAAGGGGGTGAGTGATGATATCAGAGTCTGTCCCAGCAGGGGCTAGCTGGTGGAGGGGAGTGTCATCGAAGCCATGACAGATCCAGGCAGGGGGTGAGTGATGATATCAGAGTCTGTCCCCTCAGGGTCTGGTGGAGGGTAGTGTCATTGAAGCCATGATGGATCCAGGCAGGGGGTGAGTGATGATATCAGAGTCTTTCCCCTCAGGGGCTGGTACAGGGGAGTGTCATCGAAGCCATGACGGATCCAGGCAGGGGGTGAGTAATGATATCAGAGTCTGTCCCCTCGGGCTGGTGGAGGGGAGTGCTGAAGCCATGACGGATCAAGGCAGGGGATGAGTGATGATATCAGAGTCTGTCCCCTCAGGGGCTGGTACAGGGGAGTGTCATCGAAGCCATGACGGATCCAGGCAGGGGGTGAGTGATGATATCAGAGTCTGTCCCCTCAGGGGCTGGTGGAGGGTAGTGTCATTGAAGCCATGACAGATCAAGGCAGGGGATGAGTGATGATATCAGAGTCTGTCCCTTCAGGGGCTGGTGGAGGGTATTGTCATTGAAGCCATGACGGATCCAGGCAGGGGGTGAGTGATGATATCAGAGTCTGTCCCCTCAGGGGCTGGTGGAGGGTAGTGTCATTGAAGCCATGACGGATCAAGGCAGGGGATGAGTGATGATATCAGAGTCTGTCCCCTCAGGGGCTGGTGGAGGGTATTGTCATTGAAGCCATGACGGATCCAGGCAGGGGGTGAGTGATGATATCAGAGTCTGTCCCCTCAGGGGCTGGTGGAGGGTAGTGTCATTGAAGCCATGACGGATCAAGGCAGGGGATGAGTGATGATATCAGAGTGTGTCCCCTCAGGGGCTGGTGGAGGGTAGTGTCATTGAAGCCATGATGGATCCAGGCAGGGGGTGAGTGATGATATCAGAGTCTGTCCCCTCAGGGGCTGGTACAGGGGAGTGTCATCGAAGCCATGACGGATCCAGGCAGGGGGTGAGTGATGATATCAGAGTCTGTCCCCTCAGGGGCTGGTGGAGGGGAGTGTCATCGAAGCCATGACGGATCAAGGCAGGGGATGAGTGATGATATCAGAGTCTGTCCCCTCAGGGGCTGGTGGAGGGTAGTGTCATTGAAGCCATGATGGATCCAGGCAGGGGGTGAGTGATGATATCAGAGTCTGTCCCCTCAGGGGCTGGTGGAGGGTAGTGTCATCGAAGCCATGACGGATCCAGGCAGGGGGTGAGTGATGATATCAGAGTCTGTCCCCTCAGGGGCTGGTGGAGGGGAGTGTCATCGAAGCCATGACGGATCCAGGCATGGGTTGAGTGATGATATCAGAGTCTGTCCCCTCAGGGGCTGGTGGAGGGGAGTGTCATCGAAGCCATGACGGATCCATGTAGGGGGTGAGTGATGATATCAGAGTCTGTCCCCTCAGGGGCTGGTGGAGGGGAGTGTCATCGAAGCCATGACGGATCCATGTAGGGGGTGAGTGATGATATCAGAGTCTGTCCCCTCAGGGGCTGGTGGAGGGGAGTGTCATCGAAGCCATGACGGATCAAGGCAGGGGATGAGTGATGATATCAGAGTCTGTCCCCTCAGGGGCTGGTGGAGGGTAGTGTCATTGAAGCCATGATGGATCCAGGCAGGGGGTGAGTGATGATATCAGAGTCTGTCCCCTCAGGGGCTGGTGGAGGGTAGTGTCATCGAAGCCATGACGGATCCAGGCAGGGGGTGAGTGATGATATCAGAGTCTGTCCCCTCAGGGGCTGGTGGAGGGGAGTGTCATCGAAGCCATGACGGATCCAGGCATGGGTTGAGTGATGATATCAGAGTCTGTCCCCTCAGGGGCTGGTGGAGGGGAGTGTCATCGAAGCCATGGCGGATCCATGTAGGGGGTGAGTGATGATATCAGAGTCTGTCCCCTCAGGGGCTGGTGGAGGGGAGTGTCATCGAAGCCATGACGGATCCATGTAGGGGGTGAGTGATGATATCAGAGTCTGTCCCCTCAGGGGCTGGTGGAGGGGAGTGTCATCGAAGCCATGACGGATCAAGGCAGGGGATGAGTGATGATATCAGAGTCTGTCCCCTCAGGGGCTGGTGGAGGGTAGTGTCATTGAAGCCATGATGGATCCAGGCAGGGGGTGAGTGATGATATCAGAGTCTGTCCCCTCAGGGGCTGGTGGAGGGTAGTGTCATCGAAGCCATGACGGATCCAGGCAGGGGGTGAGTGATGATATCAGAGTCTGTCCCCTCAGGGGCTGGTGGAGGGGAGTGTCATCGAAGCCATGACGGATCCAGGCATGGGTTGAGTGATGATATCAGAGTCTGTCCCCTCAGGGGCTGGTGGAGGGGAGTGTCATCGAAGCCATGGCGGATCCATGTAGGGGGTGAGTGATGATATCAGAGTGTGTCCCCACCTGGGCTGGTGGAGGGAAGTGTCATCGAAGCCATGACGGATCCAGGCAGGGGATGAGTGATGATATCAGAGTGTGTCCCCACCTGGGCTGGTGGAGGGGAGTGTCATCGAAGCCATGACGGATCCATGTAGGGGGTGAGTGATGATATCAGAGTCTGTCCCCTCAGGGGCTGGTGGAGGGGAGTGTCATCGAAGCCATGACGGATCCATGTAGGGGGTGAGTGATGATATCAGAGTCTGTCCCCTCAGGGGCTGGTGGAGGGGAGTGTCATCGAAGCCATGACGGATCAAGGCAGGGGATGAGTGATGATATCAGAGTCTGTCCCCTCAGGGGCTGGTGGAGGGTAGTGTCATTGAAGCCATGATGGATCCAGGCAGGGGGTGAGTGATGATATCAGAGTCTGTCCCCTCAGGGGCTGGTGGAGGGTAGTGTCATCGAAGCCATGACGGATCCAGGCAGGGGGTGAGTGATGATATCAGAGTCTGTCCCCTCAGGGGCTGGTGGAGGGGAGTGTCATCGAAGCCATGACGGATCCAGGCATGGGTTGAGTGATGATATCAGAGTCTGTCCCCTCAGGGGCTGGTGGAGGGGAGTGTCATCGAAGCCATGGCGGATCCATGTAGGGGGTGAGTGATGATATCAGAGTGTGTCCCCACCTGGGCTGGTGGAGGGAAGTGTCATCGAAGCCATGACGGATCCAGGCAGGGGATGAGTGATGATATCAGAGTGTGTCCCCACCTGGGCTGGTGGAGGGAAGTGTCATCGAAGCCATGACGGGTCCAGGCAGGGGATGAGTGATGATATCAGAGTCCCCTCAGGGGCTGGTACAGGGTAGTGTCATCGAAGCCATGACGGATCAAGGCAGGGGGTGAGTGATGATATCAGAGTCTGTCTCCTCAGGGGCTGGTGGAGGGGAGAGTCATTGAAGCTGTGATGGATCCAGGCAGGGGGTGAGTGATGATATCAGAGTCTGTCCCCTCAGGGGCTGGTGGAGGGTAGTGTCATTGAAGCCATGATGGATCCAGGCAGGGGGTGAGTGATGATATCAGAGTCTGTCCCCTCAGGGTCTGGTGGAGGGTAGTGTCATCGAAGCCATGACGGATCCAGGCAGGGGGTGAGTAATGATATCAGAGTCTGTCCCCTCAGGGTCTGGTGGAGGGGAGTGTCATCGAAGCCATGACGGATCCATGCAGGGGGTGAGTGATGATATCAGAGTGTGTCCCCACCTGGGCTGGTGGAGGGAAGTGTCATCGAAGCCATGACGGATCCAGGCAGGGGATGAGTGATGATATCAGAGTCCCCTCAGGGGCTGGTGGAGGGTAGTGTCATTGAAGCCATGACGGATCCAGGCAGGGGGTGAGTGATGATATCAGAGTCTGTCCCCTCAGGGGCTGGTGGAGGGGAGTGTCATTGAAGCCGTGATGGATCCAGGCAGGGGGTGAGTGATGATATCAGAGTCTGTCCCCTCAGGGGCTGGTTGAGGGTAGTGTCATTGAAGCCATGACGGATCCAGGCAGGGCTTGAGTGATGATATCAGAGTCTGTCCCCTCAGGGTCTGGTGGAGGGGAGTGTCATCGAAGCCATGACAGATCCAGGCAGGGGGTGAGTGATGATATCAGAGTCTGTCCCCTCAGGGTCTGGTGGAGGGGAGAGTCATCGAAGCCATGACAGATCCAGGCAGGGGGTGAGTGATGATATCAGAGTGTGTCCCCTCAGGGGCTGGTGGAGGGGAGTGTCATCCAAGCCATGACGGATCCAGGCAGGGGGTGAGTGATGATATCAGAGTGTGTCCCCTCAGGGTCTGGTGGAGGGGAGTGTCATCGAAGCCATGACGGATCCAGGCAGGGGGTGAGTGATGATATCAGAGTCTGTCCCCTCAGGGGCTGGTGGAGGGGAGTGTCATCGAAGCCATGACGGATCCAGGCAGGGGGTGAGTGATGATATCAGAGTCTGTCCCCTCAGGGGCTGGTGGAGGGGAGTGTCATCCAAGCCATGATGGATCCAGGCAGGGGGTGAGTGATGATATCAGAGTCTGTCCCCTCAGGGGCTGGTGGAGGGGAGTGTCATCCAAGCCATGACGGATCCAGGCAGGGGGTGAGTGATGATATCAGAGTGTGTCCCCTCAGGGTCTGGTGGAGGGGAGTGTCATTGAAGCCGTGATGGATCCAGGCAGGGGGTGAGTGATGATATCAGAGTCTGTCCCCTCAGGGGCTGGTGGAGGGGAGTGTCATCGAAGCCATGACGGATCCAGGCAGGGGATGAGTGATGATATCAGAGTCCCCTCAGGGGCTGGTGGAGGGGAGTGTCATCGAAGCCATGACGGATCCAGGCAGGGGGTGAGTGATGATATCAGAGTCTGTCCCCTCAGGGGCTGGTGGAGGGGAGTGTCATTGAAGCCCTGATGGATCCAGGCAGGGGGTGAGTAATGATATCAGAGTCTGTCCCCTCAGGGTCTGGTGGAGGGGAGTGTCATCGAAGCCATGACAGATCCAGGCAGGGGGTGAGTGATGATATCAGAGTCTGTCCCCTCAGGGGCTGGTGGAGGGTAGTGTCATTGAAGCCATGACGGATCCAGGCAGGGCTTGAGTGATGATATCAGAGTCTGTCCCCTCAGGGGCTGGTGGAGGGTAGTGTCATCGAAGCCATGATGGATCCAGGCAGGGGGTGAGTGATGATATCAGATACTGTCCCCTCAGGGTCTGGTGGAGGGGAGCGTCATCGAAGCCATGATGGATCCAGGCAGGGGGTGAGTGATGATATCAGATACTGTCCCCTCAGGGTCTGGTGGAGGGTAGTGTCATCGAAGCCATGATGCATCACAAAGGCAATGACAGAAGGTGTAGGTGTGGTGTTGACAATATAGTTAGTGTGTGAGGAGCCTACTTTAAGGGTCTGTATAGAAGGACCTTCTTCAAACATTACAGAAAGGTCTATTTGTAAGATATTAGATCCGAAACAGGGCAGGTTTAAACCATAGACTGATTCCATGTCCCTTTGAGCTTGTAACCTCACCTGTCACAATGTTTCCCTTCCAGGAAACTTGCCACAGTCGTCATACAGCGGGGAACACTGAAGAGGGGAGACCTGTTGCTAGCTGGCACAACCTGGGCCAAGGTGAGGCTAGAAAAGACTACCTACTACTTCCACCCACATAAGGGGGAGGCCAGTCATTTAATATTTAGTCTTAATGTTAGAGACACCATTACTTTCCTGTCACTATTTTCCCCTGCAAAGAGGAGCCAAATAACATGTTTGGACAAAACAAATTTCAAGCTTTTTCTGGAGCTCCTCCATCATATTGACAGTCCCGTATTTGATGTCTCTTGATCTTTTCAGCTTTCAGCATCAAAATGACAGTGGTCAAAGTATGACCAGGGCCTTTATTTGTCCACAGCAATGGGAAACTTCATAAATATAATGATTTGAGGTTTTTATGTTGAAAGTTGCCATTTACCAGCCACACTAACCTGCTACACCATCAGTGAATGAGATTGTGTATGATTCAGTGTATAGCCCACAGGTCACTAATCAGGTGTAGGTAAGCAACACTGATGGCGGAGAGTAGTTTGATGGGTGACCGCGTTTGGCAGCTGACTCCTCAGAGTTTCTAGGTTTTAGTCCTGCCACACACTGAAGGACATGCAGCACATGTGGTGTCTCCCTGGGCAAGTGACTTTGTTTGAAATGTGCCTCTGTTCACCCAGCAGTGAGTGGGTACCTGGTAGGATGAGATAGTAATGTGACTGTTAACCTTCTAGTGCATCACAGACAGCTTGCGCGGTATACTCCCCAGGGAGCTGAGAATGAAATACACATAAGCTGTACCTTCTCTTGTGTGCAGGTCCGAGGTATGTTTGATGACCAGGGCCGACCCCTGCAGGAAGCGCCCCCTGCTACTCCGGTGCAGATCATAGGTTGGAAGGATCTGCCTTCGGCCGGAGATGAAGTTTTTCAAGTTGAAAATATGGTGAGTTTTCCAAGGTGCCTTGATATCAGGTGAATGCTTGATTGCAGCATCAGGCTTTTAGTTGTCTCCTTTTAGATGTTTGGTAGAAGAAGTTCTGAACTCTGTATGCTTAATTACATTAAGTAATACGTTACCACTGTTATACCGAGGCTGTTGTCTCCCACAACTGCTGCTATAGCGAAATCTACCACAGAGATCTCAATTACCTCATGCAGCACGTGCGTAGCCACCTAGCTGCCATGTGACACCCTTGACTCTTGTCTCTTCGCTTGCTCTAGCAAGACGTACAATAAACTGCTCAAGCGTTCCTGTTTCTCCGACCATTCGGTGATATTTATTACTGTTTATTCTCTCTAATAAACTGTGCTTTTACGGGGCGTTTGCTGTAACTACGCTTGGAAATATTTTTCCCGCCAAAAGGAAATATTTTTCCCCGCCCTTTTTTTTCTATATACTTGCGGGGTGTCTCGTATGCACGTTGCGTCTTACGTTCCCCTGTTCTAGTATATCTTGGGTTTTTTACATCACTTATTCCTCTATATGTTATATGTGTATGTTCTATATTCCCATTGCTCGTTTATTTTCTTGTGAAAATACTCGTTTGTGACTATTTGTGGTGCGTGTGTTGTAACCATGTTTTGCTCTTTGTTCATAGTACAAACAAAATGTCTGACATGGATGTTTCGCCGTCCTCCACCCCCTCTACCCCCGCAACCAGGAGCTGCGGGGTGTGCCGCAAGCGAGCGCTACCGGCTGTATGTGCAGTCCGTTTCCACCCCTGTGGTGGCCGGCTCGTCCGGTCGGGGTCCCCTTGTGGGTACCACCACCACGGCTGCGGCGGATCCCTTGGCGGCCCGTGGGCTGTCCGGGGTTTCCGTCGCTGCATTACTTGCATAACTTGTGGACTCCAAGCTGGCAGCCTTATCTCAGGATAGGCCGCTGGCTGTTCCGTCCCCGGCCACTTCGGTGGCCGCGGGGTCGGACGCGGGGTCCACCGGTACGGCGGCGGCTCCCGTGGTCACCGGTCCTTCCCCCGAACCGTTGCTCCCGCTATCGGTTAAGGACCGCGTAGCCATGGTTTATGACCTCTTTGAGGACATGCCCCGGCCGGTACCGCGGGGAATCCACGACTGTGGGTTCCTCCGAGGTATACAATGAGTCTTCCGACACGGCTTTCCCCGCATCAACCTTGCTGCGCGGTTTCAAGCCTTCCTTGGAGAACGCCTTCGCGGCGGCCTCCGGTCGCGGTCTCCCGTTGCCTCCGACGTCGTGGAGAAAGGGTTTATTCCCGGTACATGACCTTGCCTTTCCCGAGGCTGGTCCTACCGCGGAGACCCATGTTGAGCGGTTGGGTGTCTGTGCCCCACCGGCTGCTACGGTAACGCAAGCTACCTTGCACCAGCTGGACGCCCTCGCTCGGCACTCCATGTCTCACGGAGACACTTACTTGGCTGCAGCCGCCCGTCTGGTCGAAGGTTCTCCCACGGACCGTGACCAGCGCATTTACAACTGCCTGCTCTGTTTAAATGCTTCCCTGGAGTACGTTGCCGATGACTCTCGGCACACACTTGCTCTTGTTGGGTCCCTGCATAGGCGCCTGGGTGCCGCTCCTAACCGGAGCGCGCCCCAGGCTGCTGCGGCCGGTAGGTCTAAGGGGTCGGGTTCTTCTTCCTCTGGGAAGTAGCCCCGCCCTGAGGGCTCCGGTGTGGGCAATCAGCTGCCCTTTCGCGGGAAGACGGGGAACTGGGGGAAGCCCAAGTCGTCGACGGACGGCAAGGGCCCCTCCAGGTGACTCTCATTGGAGGGGTTCGTATGCCGACAGCGCCAACTTTGGTTGGCCCTGAGGCGAACCCGAGTCACTTGGCCCTGGACAGTTGCGCCTGCCGCAGCCTGTCAGGGCCCCCTCTCCTTCCCCTTTTGGAGCCAGACTCCAGACTTACTGGGAGAATTGGGAACAAGTGTTCGACGACCCGTGGGTGGTCAACACGATTCGGTACGGCTATCGGCTTGATCTCAAAGCGAATCCGCCGCTCACCGTTGCCCCGTTGGCAGGTTTCTATTCGGAAACAGATCTTCCCATCCTCGCCGATGCCATCGGCAGGTTGGTGGAGAAGGGGCAGTACGGGAGTTAGCTCTACCAGAAATAACACCGGGGTTTTACTCCAGGATATTTCTCGTTCCCAAGTAGGACAGTGCCGAACTCACAATGTTTCACACGTCCGCTCCCTGGCTGTTCACCCGGTTAACCACCTCCATAGTGGGGTTCCTGGACGACTCGCTAGTAGCAAATCGAATGACGGACACCCTGTGACGCCATCTAGTTTTCGCACGTCGGCTCTTGGAGCAATTGGGGTGGATTATCAATCTCCCCAAGAGCGAGTTAACCCCTTCTCAGAACTTGCTGTTCATCGGAGGTCGGTTCAACACGGTGTCCCATCGCCTCTTTGTCCCCCCAGACCGGTGGCACAAGATTCAGGCGATGATTGCCAAAGTCTTAGTGGTGCAACAGACTGTTCACTTTTGGGATCAGCTGTTAGGGCTACTTGTATCAGCCCAGGACTGCACCCAACGGGGTCGTCTCCAACTCCGCCCGCTGCAACGTTTTTTAATCCAGTTGTTAGCAACGGAGGTGAACAGTGCGACCGTCGCCCTCCCGGATCGGCTCCGACCGCATCTGGAGTGGTGGACGGTCCCTTACAATGTCTTATCAGGAGTCTCTATGCGGCCCTACCGGGCCACGTTGAACCTGTATACAGACGCCTCTCTAGTGGGCTGGGGCGCCCATCTAGAGGGGGAGGTGAGCTCGGGGCTGTGGTGCGTAGACAAACTAGGTCTTTACATCAATTGTCTCGAGTTCAAGGCAGTGATCAACGCAGTCAATCACTGGAAGCATCGTCTCGTCGACGCCCGGCTCATGCTGGTGGATCAAGAGATCCGGTCTCACACCCTTCAGCTTCATCCAAACGCAGGGCAGTTCAATCTGCACGCGTAGATGTTGTCACCGAGCGTCTGAGGAGTAAAGGTTTTCCTTGCCGGGCGTCTCGGGCATACGTTAGTATGCATCGTGATTCTACCCAGAAGGTGTATAATGCACGTTGGGTTATTTTCACGAAGTGGTGTTGTAAACATCACATTCATTCGCCAGATAAGGTATCTGTGCAGGATATTGCTCGTTTCATGTCTCACTTGCGAGAGACCCGGAAACTCTCCGGGGGTTCCATTGCCAACTATGTCTCGTCCGTTGCTACGGTACGGGACGTTGCTATGGGTACCAGTCTCTCCAAAGAGCCGGTGATACGGGGTATTATCAAGGGTTTCAAACAGCACGATCTTAAGAAGGGCCGCCTTCGGGCACCGGCCTGGGATCTTTCCCTAGTGTTGCAATCACTTACGGAAGCTCCGTATGAACCCTTGCATAGTGCTTCGTTCCGGCATGTGACTTGGAAAAACAGCATTTCTCCTCTCCTTTGCCACGGCGGCACGTGTATCCGAAATTCATGCACTCGATGTCGCCAAGGTATGATTCGATAGGGGTGACGAAGGAGCGGTCCGCCTGGGCCTGCTCATGGGCTTCGTCGCCAAGAATCAGAGAGTCGGGCAAACGGAGAGAGAATTCACTGTAAGATCACTCAAAGAAATCTTACATCCTGCTGATACTGAGGACAGAGCGCTGTGTCCGGTTAGGGCCCTTAAGTATTATCTTAAGGCTTCGAATGAACGTAGACAAGGGCGTGACCGTCTGTTCATATCGTGTAACCCTAATCGCACGGTTGACATAACTCGCAACTCGATTGCGTTGTGGCTTCGTTCTGTCATCAGTCTGGCGTACCGGTCTCGGGGGTTACCGGTAGCGGGGTCAAACCCGCACGAGATCAGGGCGCTAGCGGCAACATTTGCCCTACACTCGAATATCTCTGTTCGCAGAATATTACGAGGTTGTTACTGGCGTTCTGACTCGGTTTTTGCCAATCATTACCTCAAACAGGTCGCTGATGCCGTTGTGGAGAGTGTGCACCGTCTTGGCCCGCGGATCGCGGCGCAAGCGGGCACCGAAGGGGTGTGCCCAGCGCAATTCCGAACTCCTCAGGCGTCAGACCTTGCACGGTGGTCAATCTGGGTCGACTCCAATTTTCCCACTGCCGTGGGTACAGGAGTTGGGGTCCCGCAAACCAGCGCACTCACACCACAGGTGAGGGCGGCTTTTTGTGTGCTTTGTCCTTATTTGTATTTTGACAATTATGTATTTAATTGTCTGTTGTGTATCCCAACCTTGTGATGCATGCTTACAAATACTGGAATTAGGTCACGCGCCTAATGCATACTTTAAGTAGGCTTGCTCTGGGATATACGGTCTGAATGAAATTAATTTCCCTCTTTTCGACTGTTTAACCTGATCTAAGATTAAGCTCACGCGGATACAGTGTTCTCATCTGCTGCGGCGATGAAATACCTATCCAGTGGGGCCGTCTGGAGTCACCAATCGTTTTGGCAATGACGATTGAGCCTTACGGTATGCGCTTGACAGTGCTTTGGTATTCCTATAGGGTCGAGTCAGTATACGTCCCTTTCCCAGACCAGGCCACAGCGCTACGTTTATCGAGTGGTATACATCTTGCAAGGGACGCGACTCTTCCCATTAATTACTTGCGCTCAGTGCTACTGTCATGGCGGATCTGTTTACGCATTTGTTTACTGTCGAAGGTCGGCTTGTTGTTATATTAACGTACAGATCGCTAACTATAACTGCCAGGAAGTCTCTTAGGTGGGTTATGGTCGGTTTTATTGTGGTTGTGTCAACAGTGCGAATGCAAAATTTGTTTGCCACCAAGTATGATTAAAATCGATATGGCTCAAGACATATCTTTTAGCATCTTATGTTATCCACGCGTGCCTCTTAGATCCTTTGGGTTAGTTATGTCTGATTTGTTTGTTTGTTGTTGTTTAACGAAGCACTCACCAATATTTCAACTCAACTAAATGACGGCGGTCTGTAAATAATC